AGAAAAAAATTATTTTTCTCTTTTTTTTCCTCTCGTATCAGCATCAAACTGATAATGTAGAGGTGTTATTTATTAGAATTTATTTTAAAAATTTCATCCGTGGAGACCGCGTTGTCTTCTTGCATATCCACCAATGGAACCAAATGTGAAATTCGATGGGAAAAAATTTCCAAATGTAGGAATTTTCAATATTTCTTTTGTGATGTATGTATATAGAGGTAGATATAGCAGTATATGCAAATTTTTGAATTTCTGCATATCGTAATCGCAGACAAAAGGGTTTTGTCAGATAAAGGCAAGATAACAAATTCCAATATAACATTAAGTAAATTTTTTTGTGCTTTATAAAAAATAAATAAAGAACATTTTGGTGAAAATGCAAACAAAGGATGGTATGTAGCTATAGCTGTGTATATCCACTCCAAGCATTATTTTTTTGCCGAAAAAAAAAGTCAAGAGAACTGCTTTTTTCCTTTATTTTTTTTGCGTTTATTACGACGGAACATTGATGGTCTCTATGGGACTCTCGCTCGGGCAGCAGCGAACATAAGAAGTAAGAAAAAAATAAATACAGCAGTCGCAATATCTTTAAATCTTAAGTAAGTAATTTTATATTGTTATTCTATAATGGAATTACAAGATGATACGAAATTCTCTTCTTACTGTTTATATTTCTTCTTATTTTTCATCTTCTTCTCATTCCATTTCACTCATCTTCGGTCTATCTCATACCATACACACCACTGTATACAATATATATATATATACCCATAGCCGTACATGCATGAATGCCATTGCTATTGTTAATTAACTAATTATCATCATCATACTCGGCATCTCCAAAAACTGCACAAGCAAATAAAAGTAAGCAAGTAACAAACAACACAATTAGAATTTTCCCTTATTCATATTCATGCTCTGCTTTTTAAAGGAATAAATATGTACACACATAAAAATGGAGACATGAGAGACTGGAAAACAATCTATAATGACAATACAAATTGCTCCGCTAATCGATCTGCATCTCTTTCTCCTTTCGCTCTCCCGTCTTTTCTTTCTTTTGTGGCTACTGCCTTTACTTTTTTTGCCCCCTTTGTGCTCCATTTCCTATTCATTTTGGATGTTATTTTAGTGATTATCGTGAACTTTTAAAGATTTAGCTCAGATTTTCCTTGAAAACTTGTGATATGGAAGAGACATTGTATGAGAAAGTGGTCATGATCTGCTTTAAATTGAGCATTTAATGATCATTTCAATGGAATTGGTTAAAAAATAAGCATTAACTGCCAGAAAATATTTGAATTCGGCATTTCTTATAAATTTAATGAAAGAAAGTTTGAATTCAAAAAATCCGTTGGTATTCAAACTTATAAAATTTGTTAAAGTTCAAAAAAAAATCAAGTCATTGTCAGACAATCCCTCACTTCCTCGACCGGAATCAGCAAAAATAACTTTTCATTTTGTTATTTCTGACTAGGGTGACCATCTGCGTAGTTTTACAACGGACAGTCCTGTATTTCAAAACCCTGTCCTGTATAAATTTGAAAATTTTGTTCTAGGTCCTGTATTTTTTTTCACGAAAATTTCCGTTAATTTTCGAATTTGACTCTATGTCCTGTATTTTTCGAAAAAATTTACCAAAAGTCCTGTATTTTCATGAAAAATAGATGGTAACCCTATTTCTGACTGACTCATCAGGTCAAGAATACTTTTGTCTTCTTTTTAGATTTCTTTCATTGAATTGTGATCCTTTTATGTAACCTCATGTCTCCATGTGACTGTGAAACCCCTTTTTTACATGGATAGAATTACATGCCACATCAAATTTGTCAAAGTTCTTTTTTTTTCAAGAATATAATATTCGACTGTCAAGTGGCTGTGTAAAAAAATAGTTCTGCTGAGTTAAAAATTGGATTACTAATTTAATGTGTGCGAATCACATTTCACAAATAAAAAAGAATATTCGTTTAATAAATGGGGAAGCATTTGTTAAGTTTTTTTTATGCTTTTCTCATCCGAGCATGTGCCATATGTGCGGTCGATCCAATGTTTTGTGTGAATGTATATCCATACTAATTCATTGAATAATTTTCATTCAGTTTTGTTGTTATTAATATCTAAAAAAAATTTTTTTAATTTATGAAAATCTATTCGAAAAACTACATATTGCTGACACATACACAACACAACAGACGTCACATTTAAACACATTTTATTACTACAAATGGAACCGAATATATTAAAAAGGAAAGGTTTTTCTCCTTATCGTACTTAAAAAAATGTTTATTGACTCTCGAAAGGCATTTCTTAACTTTATATGCATGTAGAATACATAAAGTTTTAGATAAACGCGCATCAGCTTAATTGACACCTTTGTACAACATTTTAAAATGTGAACTTAGATATCGTAGGTAACAAAACAATAATATCTCATTTTATATTTAATGCTGACATTAAAAAATTTAAGATTGTACTTATTTCTTATTTCCCTCATTCTACTCAATTTCATCTTCATCTTTTTTATGATGTTGAGTCGTCTTTTATGCATTTTATATTTCCGGAATGTTAAAATCAATCTAAATGGTTTTGATATGTTACAAGTGATAGAAAAAAAAGATGCTAAAAAGTGAAAACAAGAAATAATACATGAAAAATATGCGACATCAAAAAACGCTATTAAAGCTGCTTTATATCTTGACTCACTTTTAACTCTCTTTGTGCTTCACACTTCTAGTGTGATGTGTCTTTGTGTAGGTATGAGGAAAGTTGTCACATAGTTTTTACTGAATGTTTGCTGAATTTAAGATTTATTCAATTGAATCAGCTGAATTGAGTTGGATATGCTAAATTCAGTTGATCTTGCTGAATTCCATTAAATTTGCTAAATTCAGTTGAATATGCTGAATTCAGTTGAATTTGCTGAATTAAAATTATTTATGCTTATTTCAGTTGATCTTGCTGAGTTCCATTAGCAAGTTGAGTTGAATATGCTGAATTCAGTTGAATTTGCTGAATTCAATTAAAGATAAAGTTTCTGAATTCAGCAAAATTAACATGATTCTTTTGAATTAGGAAAATTTTATGAATTAGCTTAATTCAACTAGATTTTACATCTTTTTGTTTAATTTAATGTTATCCAGTGTAATTTTTTTATGAAATGGAGTTTACTGAATGAGCTCAGTTCGCTGAGTTCAACAAAATTAGCTGAATTCAGCAAAGTCATCTGAATTCTCGAATATCAACAAAACAACGCTTCAAAATTTCAAATCCAATAAATATTCAACAAAAATCAAATTCATTTCAAAAATAATCACCGAGCAAACAAGCTAGTAAAATTTAACATGCAAATATCCGATTACAAAAATGAGCTATTAGAGATGAAAGGAACAGACACTTTATTTTATGTTCAATAAATTTAAGCTATGAATTTTTCACTCTTGTACATTTAACTTAAATGTGTATATATTTTTTTTCTAGAGCAATTTAAAGCTATAACTCTTCCATTTTGCAATCATTGAATTTATATCATGTTAAAAGTGATATTTGATTATTTTTTTCTGTTATGTTATTTTTTTTGTAAAAAATAATAAAAAAAAAATAAATTTGACAAGTTTTTGTAATGAAGGTAGAGGAAGAAGGGCACATAAAAAAATTATTGTGACAATCACAAAATGCTCGTATTTCAAAAATATAACTGAATCGATATCAATTCATGTACCTTTGCTTATTGGATTGAAGCTTTTTGCGGGCTTCTCAATTTTTTTTGCATGTATATTTTGAATACACACGAAAAAAGTATTAAAAAATAAAATAAAATGGAAACAACGAATTAAATTATCCCTGTCAATTTTTTTTTGTGTATATTCTTCATGTCTTATTCACATGACTGTCATGAAGCTGTGCAAAACACTATAATTTTGTAAATTACCCATGCAAAGCGAACTTATTGTCACCCGTAACACACAATCTCATATCATAACAACGAAGCAAAAATCTTCATCTTCTTGCTTCAAGCTCTATTCATAATAATAATATGATGATATGAAAGGCGCAGAGGCATCAACCATGATTTTTTTTTGTTCATTCGTTCATGCATTCAGCTATGGTATTTATGCATATATACACATATAGCGAGCGAATAGTAGTCTCCGAAGGATAACAACACTGACGACAACTGGCTTATTTTGTATTCATACTGTGTTTTGATTAAATTGCATTAAAAGAATTATGAAGTCATATTAAGCGTAAGTATAAATATTTTTTGTATGTAAAGCATGCCAGTATGGTAGTTTATAATAATGAACTACAAGCAATGTGTTGAGTTTTCAGTGGTGAAGGAAGGAAGGAGAACAGAAAAAAATTGAAAGTTATTTATCAATAATTTATTTTTTTCTTATTCTCTCATCATATCCATTCATTGCTTCATTCATTCATAATAATGATTTTTTATACAAATTTTTAGAACTTAATTTTCTGGTGTTGTGGACTGTCTTATCGTTATTATTATGTTCCATTCAGTTATTATCATGTGTGTATTATTATTATCTTGAGTAAAGACTAGAGAATGGATCTTTTTAATATGGATGGGACGCATTAATGGAGGCAACGATAAGCATTCAATTTATTCTTAATTGTGCTCTTATATTTTTAATTTAACGGTCATTTTATATTTGAATTTCCACCAAGTTCAAAAATTTCAAATTATCAACCGTTATTTTGAGTTCAAATTGAAGAAAATTTAAATTTTACTGTTATTATGAGTTCAAAATTGAAAATAAATTCAAATTTAATGGAAATTTCAAGTTCAAAGTTGACGCAAATTCAATATTTAACGGCTTAAAGTTCAAATTTTGAACTTTAAAATTTAATGATAAAAATCATGAATTCTAATCCTAAGCATCAATAGTCACTCAATTAAATCAACAACACTTACTTCAGCAAAAATGCGTCAAGAATGAAAAATAAATCGTAATTGATATCAATTGTCAGTAAATACTTACAAGAGGTGAATAAAATGCTGAGCTATCTACGCCGATACTTGGATAAGGATTTTGGTCAGTTGATGGATATGGCGTACCATAAACACCGGCACTAGGCAACCGTGAATAACTCGATAATGCCAAACGTGCTGAATCATATTGACATGAGCAAATTGTTTGTCCTGATACAGGATCATTCATTATAGGTCGTCCATTCTCGCAGCAAGTCGATGTCGTATTACCTCCATTCGACGCCCCAGCACCATTTGACGATGGATTTGTTGTAACAGCAGTCTGTGATGTCTGCGATAATGCACCGGGTGAAAGAGGTCCCGGTTGTGTACCGCCATTTGGGCTTAATGACGGTGGTGGATTTGTCTCCGATAAAGGCGACTGGGCACTTACGGACGTTGTTGTTGGTGCTGTCGCCGACTGTCCAAGAAGCTGCAAGTAAAACAAAGGAAATTTTTATTTCATTATGTATGTACGACAGTAAAAAAATAAGAGAGAAAATTCTATTGTCTTCTCATGCTGAAAATTGTACATGAGAAAATATTCAAACACAAAATGCTATTAAAATCCATTTGGAGAAGAAACAACAAGCCGGCAGTAAAGAGAGAGAGATAAGACCAAACATAATATTATGGATATATCTGCCTTCAATATATATCAAATTACAGAAAAACTATAATAAAAGCGACAAAAATCTAAATTGAAATGAGAACTGAATGGCATAATAGCAGTGAAAATTCATTCATTCATTTCTCCTGCATGGGAAGACAGAACATACATTTTGATTATATAATTTAATAATTCGATTATTAAAATTCAATTAAGTTTTCAACAAGACAAGTTTGTCTCCAGTTTTTTCTTTTTTTGGGTATATTCATTCCCTTTTTGTGTTTGAGAGTGCTATTGATATATATTCCAGGGGTGTAGCCAAACACTTTTCAGTGGTTTGAATTTTTTTGTTTTTTGAACAAGTTATAGTAATATTATACTGACCCCCCCCCCCCCCCTTGATACATCCCTGTCATACATCCAATTGATTATATTACAACGTTAGGGTCTGTGAGTGTGTGTTAATCGCTCCTAATGAGTGTTTTATGCTATTGAAGAGAAAAAAGAATGTAGTTCTAGTCGATATCTGATTCTCTTTCCGATTTAATGAGCTTTTCATCGGATTATACTCGAAAAAATAGGTGCTCGATGTTAATGGGATTCGACAGAGTTAATGAATGAAATTACTTGATTGTTAACCCTTTCCTAATTAACTTTGAACTGCTTTACCACTCTATAGACAGATAAGTAAACAAATGCATACATTTAAAAATAAATAAAATTAAAATTTATTATCTACATTCTTAATTACGTGTATTTTCATTAGTTTACTTATTTACTTTACTGATGAACGATGGGTTAAATTGATAAAAAAGAGATATATTTTCTCAAATGTCGCTATACATTTGAAATTTGATATTGTTATTTCGTAAAAATGACACAAAAGTGATTTCGTTTATCTACAAATAATTAATTAACTTATTAAGGCATACATACTAATCCCTATTAATTTCATTTAAATAATGTGTTTTTAAAGTGATTGTAAGTCACTCATAGTAATGTTGTTTATCGAGTTTAATGAGTTTTGAAATGAAAATTTTCTGAATTTTAAACTTATTGATTTTGCTTAACAATTTTCAATGTATACTAAAAAGATTTAAAATTAAAATTTGTTGAATTCATTGCGCATTTTTGAGCATTTTATTAAACTCAATTCAGCACTTAATTGAACTTAATTCAGTACTTTATTCAGTTTAATTCAGCAATTATTCAGCTCAATTCATTTAAATGCAGCTTAATTTAAAACCAAATCAAACTCAATTCAGCAATTTATTGAGATCAAATTAGTAATTTTTGTATCTGAACTTAGCACTTTATTCAGCTAAATTCAGCACTTAATTAAACTTATTTAAGCTATTTGTTCACCTTAATTCAGCTTTTCTTTTAGCTCAATTCAGCACTATATTTAACTTAATTCAGCACAACTCAGCATTTTATTCAGTTCAATTCAACATTTTATTCAGCTTAAAAATTCCTCATTAGCCTTAATCTAATTTTATTAATCTTCCACACACAAATAATGAATCTTTAATTACAGATATCATCTAGAAAGAATTAGAAATATGTAAGGGAAATAAATGTTGAATTTAAAAATGACCGTTAAGTCATATCAAATTACGAGCCAGTTTAATACTAGTTATTTAATAATTCAACATCAATATTTCAAGTTGAACATTTTCCTATCACTTAAACTGTAATTTGTAGATAAAGTAAATTAATTTCATTATGTATATTAAGGCATAACATTATTTTCTATATCATTAAAGTATTTATACAACGTGTAATATGATAAGGAAAGGCCATGCCTTCCTTTATAAAAATATAAATATTTTAAAGTGTAAAGTGAACATCAAAATATTTTAACTATAATAATATTAATAAAATAAGAGGCGAGCAGCAGAAAATCGGTGGCAAGAAAGCATAATTTGCATATCAAATTTTCAGTTAATCATAAATACACATTTTTTATGAAGAGAATGATTTTTTTTGATGTTCTTTCATTCTTTTCGTGGCTGGAGTTTGTTGTTGTTGTGAGGCTTGAGAAAATAACAATAATAAAGCATTAAAGTCGAGTAGCTTTACGAGCTGGCATTGTGTATTATTATTAAACATGGCATTATTATAGCATATATACATGCAAAAAATATGAGAAATATATATTAAAATTATTATTGATATAATCTGTTATGCTGCCTCGTGAGATTGAATCTTATTCTTACTTATTTTTAAAAGAAGAAGGTTTTAAGCTTTTTTTTTGCATGCATTGTGGTTGGTTGAGAGCCATGCAGAAGAAATATAAAAAAAAATCTGGATTGAATCTCTCTGGGCGATACTTTTCCATCCACATCAACATCATCATGATGAAAAATAAAAATGAGAAGCTTTAACAAATTTTTTTGCTGTTGTTATTATAAATAATGAGGAGACGAGAGATTTTTGATTCCAGATTTCATTCTCTTGTCTTGCCTACCGATGGTTAAGACCTGACCAGATTGCCACCAGTACAGAAGAGGATGGAAGCAGAGGAAAAAATGCTATGCATGTACACGGCGACGACGACATATTATATAAAACGGTCTGCAATTTTTACTTAAAACGACACATTGTCTTCTGCTTGACTTGTTTTTTTTTGTTCCTCTTTTTTTTTCGTTCACATAATGAACTGGGCCATACTGCTTTGGGGTCTTTTAGAACAGAAAAGAAATTAAATAAAATAAAATTAAAAAAATTTTTTTTGATGCCATCGACAATACAGCCTTAAAAAACTTCCAAAAGATTTTTTAATATAGATATGAATTTTTTTTCTCTTGTCGATTAATTAAAAATTCATGAATAATTTTTATTTTCAGTCTTTCTTTACTTATTTTTTTTTTTTGGACGAGAGAAGAAATTGTTGATGGCCGTAACAGAAACAACAAGTAAACAGTCTATATATACTAATTTGTGACATTAATTTTCAAACTTAAAAGATGTTTTTACGCGCGAAAAAACGTACAGAAGACATGGATGCAGAGTTGGTGATGACTAGATGTGATTATGGATATAGAGTCTGTTGATTCTTGAAATATGCTTAAGTCCACATGCATACTACATTGTAGACAAAAATATCAGGTGTGTTGTGAAGTAAGCGTTTATATATAAAAATAATATCTTGAATAAGTTTGAGAACCAGTGAATTATTTCAAGCATTAGACTAGACAGGGATTATAAAAATGAATCGAATCTTTCCATTTCTAAGGCTCACATGATCACCCGGATTCCCAGACAAAGTTTTTTGTCCCAAATTGTTCAATTTCAAACTATTCTTTAAGGACACTTAAAATATTCAAAGACACAAACCTCAGAGGTTTTTAACATATTTTGGAGATGCAGAATTTTTCTATTTGATTAACAGCTTAGATTAAAGCATCTTATAGGAGACTGTAAGCATCATTTCTAGTCATAATTATTTTTTATAAAGTTGGAAAAATTATCTACTAAGATTCGAACCTAGGAAAGATTGTTTGCCATTTTAATTTGCCAGATACAAAAGTACTAAGCCACTGCGCCACTTAGGACCTTCAACTCTCCCAAAGCAGGTGGTATTCGCACACTTATATATTAAACAAGGAAGGAAGACGAACCTTCACCAAGCTTTCTCGCTCGACTGATTTTATGTGACCTTTGTGAATATTATTTTATTTTCTATTCGCTATACACCATCGTGTCAAAATATGTTAAGTCGCCAATCTCCCCGACTCTTCATTTTTCTCTATCTTGAAAATATCATCAACACGACGAAAACGAGGCACTCATAAATAAATATTTTATCAAAATCGCCGTCGGTCGAGTTTTTAAAAATATTCGATGTTGACGTTAAATGATCCTTAAACGAACATTATAAGTTCTAAATATTTTTTTTTTGAATATTTTCATATGCCTTATTTTGCGGCATAATTTTATTATATGAAAAGAATATAATTATATGAGCTCAAAAAAATAGCAAAATTTGGTGTTTTTATCTTTTTACGCTAAATTGTTATTATTAATTTTATTAAAAATCCACTTTTCATGCTAAAACAGGCACCTTATAAATAAAGCAACTGCAAAAAAAATGTCTAGAAGGTCAACAGACGAAATGGCCATAAAAATGTTGAAGAACGCCAAAAAAAGCAACCACAGAGAACATTAAAATTCAATTCCCAGTGAAGACTCAATTTACTCAATAAACTTTCAATTTCACTAGAACGCTCGACATTTCAGAGAAATTCAATCGATATAATTATTTAATCATCATCATCATCATCGTCGTCGTTATTTGATAGCACAATTAATTGTAGACTCGCAACGAAAAATTCCAATATCGACGACGTCTCTCTTTTTACTTTAATTTTATTTCAACTTTTTGATTGTTCCTTCCTTTCAAGTATGTCTCTTTCTCTCCTGAGATTATTCACCCTTTTAACCATAATCAATTTCAATTTTTGTGTGTCTACATATATTTTATTCTCGCACGTGATTACACACGAAAAAAAATGCAATCGCAGAAATGTCATAAGAAGGAGGAAGAAGTACGAGAAATGAAATCAATGTGCTCAGAGATATAAAGCGTCATGATGCAAATGAATGTAAATGTGCAACAAGAGCACAACAAAAAATTGTTCAGAAGCAGTAAAAATCAATTCATGTCTTTCGCTCTCTGCTCATTTCCATTCTTAACCTAAAGACACAAAACCATGCGCACAAATAAAACATTTTTTTTTGTTTAAAGACAATTTAAAAGGATAAATAAGTAAGTAAGAAATGAAACATACATAAAATAAAGCCAGCAGAGAAAGAGAGAT